TTTTTTTTTGCATTTATTTCACTCATTTGACCATGGATGATCAGCTGAGTTTAGCATTTAAGTCACTCTCTGTTGTGGTTTAGGGCTGGGCTGGCCACTAAATCCTGGACAGATGCTCTCCATTAACCCCTCTCCCCTCCCTAGAAGGGAAGAGAAAAGAGAATAAGGGAGAGAGACTTTATGGGTTGGAAAATAAAACTAACAGGTTTAATAAAACAATAATACTAATACTACAGGATAATAATGTAAATAGGAAAATAATGGAATATCTACAGATATGTACAAATATATATACAAAACCAATATAAAGTCCTCTCCCCACCCTCCCCCCAATGATGATTATGTGACCAGAGGCTCTGCAAAGCCAGGCACTGGAAAAAACATCCCAGTCCGGACTCAGCAGCAGATGGGAGCAGGATGCAGGAACACGAGTCAGGATCAGAGGCAGATGAACCAGCGGGGTTCTGCTCAGACCTTGGCCATTGCAGGATCGAGACGGATGGAAGGGTCCAAGATGGAAGAAGGGTCAAGACCCTCGTGATCCCTTGGTTTTATACTGAGTATGACATGTGTGGGATGGAATACCTTGTTGGTCAGTTTTGGGTCCACTTTCCCCTCATAGGCGCAGACACGGTACCCATGGTGAGACAGTGGCCTTGAGATTATCAGTTGTAGCAGCACATACTGGAAAAACATGCTGCTAGTTTCAGCAAGTTCAGCCACTTAGAAGAGACTGAGCTGTAAAGTAAAATCATGAAATAGGAAATGAGTTCTATTAAGCTCAAACCAGGACACTCTCTCTCTCGCTGGTGTGTGTTTTGTGTGGATGTTTCTGGCTCATGGGCTTCAGATGTTTCTAGAATAACTCAGCTTTTCCTTATGTATCTCTACAATGGCCATGATTTAGTGTTTGTTTCATTTGTTTGCTTACCAGGGGAGTACCGACTTGTCCAACTGGGATGTACTGAATGATCATGTGGCTGAAGTAAGTGTGAAAGTATGTATCTTCAGTAAAAGATGCTGGTATCTATATTAAAGAAGACCATGAGAATTGGCGATTTCACTATTTTACAGTCTAAACCCATGCATACACATACTAGTTGCAAAATTGGTTGCTAAGATAATTGGTTTGAGTGAAATCACAGACCTTGTCCAGAGAAATTTTGAATGATGGTTTTAATTGAGAAGTAGGTTTATTATTTAATTGTTTAATGCATTTTTAAAAAAGTATTTAAAATAAAAGACAAGATACTGTCTCCTCTGTAAGCATGGTAACACTATGGCTCCTAAGAAACCGCAGGATTGATTGGAGCAGCTTCTCTCATTGCACTTGTTGTTGTTGTTGTTGTTGTTTTCCTGTTAAAGGCCATAGAATCTCAGGGTGTATTGAACGTTTATTTGAAATAACTGCTTACACTTGAACTTAATTTTAAGTCTAGAACTCTACGTTATTATTTTTCCTATCAAGGACTTTTCTCCAGTCAGCACATATGAATGTAAAAACTTTGTTTAATTTTGTTACTATTCTCCTCCATCTTACAAGTTGAAATGTATTTTAAATCCCAACGTGTGTCAAAATGACACTTTCCAACAATTACTTTTAAACTAGAATTTGCCCAGAATTTAAGCTTGAAGCTGACTTTATATTCAGAATAATCACAAAACAGAAATGATACATTGTTTTGGAGAATTAATATTTTTTTGTTTCTTTTATGAAGAAAGTTATGATAAATTCTGCTGCAGACTATGGTGAGCTTGATGCTAAGATGTATCAGGAGAGAATAACTGAGTTAGAGAACAGGCTTCTGGAGAAACAGGAGGCAGCCAAAAGACTCACTGCAAAGATGGACGAGCTACAGGAGCAACTTACCCAGCACAGTGACTCTGTGCAACTTCAGGTGTGTTTCATAGAATTGGATAATGCGGATATAAAATTGGATAGTAACTACTTAATTTTAATCCTAAAAATAGTTTTGAGACAAAACTCAAAGTAAGTGTAGATTTTTTTATGTTGAAAAGTACTTCACCTTGCTGACATGTGCTGCAAAAAGCTGTACTGAAGTTTTCCTTTCGCCGGTGTCCAGGACTTCGTATTGTTTGAATCCAGTGAGAGGAAACTTAAATTTGAAATGCTTCTATCTTTAGAGGGTTTTTATGAAATTCATAGTTAAATTCCTCTGCCGAGATATGGTTGAACGTGGATGTGGATACTTGTTTTCATTTAAGTTTTCTAACTCTACTGGGAAGTAAGCCTTTATGGAGAGCACCTGCAAGAACCACTGAGTATAGTTAATAATACATTGAGGTTAGGGCTCAGTGTGAAAACATGGGATGTATAGATATTTTTAAAGTCAGTGTTTATAGAAATAGTACATAGCAAGGTCATGCTGAAGAAGGGTGAGAAAAAAAGCCAAAACAGAAGTATTGTTCAAACTATCGAAAAGGAAGTACTTGCTGAAATGTCAGTGTTTCTGTGGATATGCCTGAAAACTGCTTCATGGATACAGCTAGGCTGTTTGTCAGATGTTCACATGGGATGGCATACACCACCATCACCCCGATGACTTTTTTTTCTTCCCCAGAGATCATTCACACTTTTTGAATTTTTGTGAATAATTGTGGCTTTTTTGGTTTTGGAATGGCTTGGGTTTTTGTTTGTTTTGTGTGGCTTTTTTGTTTGGCTAATGCTTTCACAAGCCTCAGAAGCTACAAGGCAACTCTCTGGCTATAACAAACTGTATCTATTTCAGTCTGGGAGTTTGTTGAGAAAGTCGATTTGTGTATTTCAGCATGTTGTCTGTGCAGAGATCCATGAGTTTTGGGGAGACAGTGTCTTCTGCATAAACAGCCGCTTTTTTACAGCTGTTGGTGTGATTTCACAATGTACAACAGCATCAAACTTGGCATATTTGTAAACCCTCTGTTAAGCTTTATTAAACTGACACGTATCTTCCTTTGTCCCAAAATATTAAAGAAAGTGTATGTTTAATTCCCTTTCTCTAACATTTCTATGTAAAGGTAAATTATCAGGTACTTCTGAAGAATAGTTACTTCCCCCTTTACATGTTGTTTTTCTCCTTTTAGGACTGGGAAACAGACTTTTCCAGTTGGTGTGAGAAATTAACTGGAAAAGTTTGTGTGATTAAGATAAAATAGGATTAATGTATCCCATCTCATTAGCTTTCTCCCACATGGCTTAAAAGAAGAGCTGACAGATAGGAAACAATTTAGGGGATACTAAACATTCATTATATTCTGTAGAAGACTTCTTTGCCTTTACATCAATAAAAGCTACAAAATTTTTAAGTAAAAATATGTATTTCATTACTGGTATCCTATCATTGGTTTAAAAAGTAACTTTTGATTAGCTTGTTTTTGCAAGTTTGTTAAAATTTAAGTGTAGCTATAGACTCTATCAGCTTTGCTTTAAGAAAATTTACTGGGTTTCTAATCTGTTGAGAATATTGTAATTTTAAAAGTGGACTTCTTGTGATCCATGTAGGAAACTACTGTTCAAGAGCAGAATGAAGTCATCAGGAAACTAACAGCCTGCCTTCAACAGACAAAGAAGGATCGGGATGACCTGCAGGGAGAGGCTTCATGTGTAGCTGCTCAGATCCACAGTTTACAACTTCAGCTACATCAGGTGTGCCACTCCTTCAGTTTTTGTGTCCTTACGAAGATAATAAGAACAGGTTTGGAATACAAATGTATAGCTCTTTATAGTTCAGTTTGTAATGCGGCTGTGAAAATTATTTCAGGGTGAGGCAGTTTTTTCCAGTTGCCAGGGAGAAGTCCTGGAGACATCCTTGTATTTTCCACTTGCCTGTGTAATGTTTGGGAGGTCGTTACTCTTCTTCGTCCATCAGTTTAGCCCCTGTTAGGGAATTTTACCCAATATTGTTAGTGGTTTGGGATCTTTACACAACAATCACTGTAATGATACGGGCTGACGTGTGGTCAGTTTTCCCTGCCTTTGCCAAAGAAAGCTCTGAGTGTATGCATGGGCAACTGTACCAGCTCAGCTGGTGTGCAGGAACTTGCTATGTTGAGATAGTGTGACTTGGCTCAAAAGAGGAGATTTAAAATAACCTGAAGACAGTTGATGCAACCCCTATGACACATAGGAACTTGCTTCAGTGCAATAAGTTGATCATGAATCTAGTCCCTGGATAAAGAGTTATACTACAGCCTTTCCTCTCCTTGGAGGAAAAAAAAAAGGACTTGATTCTTGTGACTGTTCTCTCTGAAGAGTTGTATCTTTGTTGTCTCAGGAGCCATTTCAGGTTTGCAAGATAAGAATTGGACTAGGAGGGATTACGTGTCTTAAATGTCTGGATAGGAAGGAGGTTTAAAAAAAAATGAAAAATTAAAATTGGGACTTATTGAAGTCTGCGGATTATCTTCAAGGAGTTGCTCATGCCCTGGAAAACAAATCCTCTGCCAGATGAAATTCTAACTTTGGAAAAGAACAAAAAATATTGCTTTCTATGTACAATTCTGACTGCTGTTGACAGAATATGGGGTAGTAGTGAAAATTACTCTGCAGATTATTGTTGGGATTTGCTCCATAAGCCATTGAAAGACAATGTTGAAGTCTTTAAATAGCACTTCAGGCATATTCTGAACAAGGCTAGTAATATGGTTCAAGTTGCTTGTGGAAGCATGTCAACTTTGGCAACAGATGAAGTACTAATCTTGTCTTAAATATTAACTTGATTTTAGCAAAGTCTTTAGAAAAAGGTTTTAAAACTGAATAAAACACATTTTATTTTACCCCTGCTGGGGTAAATGTTGATTTGTTGTTTATTTATTTTTTTTTTAATTTTGAGGGAGGTGGAGAGAAACAACAAACTTTAGTATTGAGCTGTGAATCCTTTGCAGAGAAGACTGATTTTGTTCATTGTCCTCTTACCAGTATGTCCAGTCCATTGGAAGTCCTGCTTTGTTTTGAGGGCTTCATAGAGATGAATTACCTAACATTCGTATTTTTGCAGTAAGTAATAGTATCTAAAAATCTGACAAGTGCTGTCTGACTTTTAGGGAGATTCTTTAGCATTGAGAAAGATGGAAGGTGAATCTGTAGTAAATTAATACCATATGGTTTATGCATACAGTGAAACCTGTGTTGGAGTTACTCAGATATAAACTTTCTTCTGATTATGAGGACCTTTGTGCTCAGGTTAATGAGATGCTGAGGAGTAAAAGTCCTGGGAAAACCCAAGTATTAGAAGCCCAGCAGCAGATGTCCTTGTTCCAGAACCGTCTCAAAGAGCAAAATGCACACTTGGAGATGCTGCGTCAGAAAGCACATGACCTGGAGGTACAGCTTGAGTCTTCTCAAAAGGTAAAAATTGTTTAAAGTGCCTTTGTATTTATGAGTTCGAGGTAGTGAGGTTTTCATTGTGACTGTGCGAGCCAAGGTAGTACTTTTTGGAGGAAGAATCTGCAATGAACATTTAATTTGTGCACGAGGTAACACTGATGCTTCAGGACTGAAACTGCACTTCAGTACAGAATTAAAAATCTGTTCTTCTTTAGGTAATGATACTCAGCTAAGGCAAAATAGCTGCTCACAGTTTAAGATTTTTTTATTTTCCTTTGAAATAACATTCAGTTCTGGCTCTCTAAAATTTGCTTATTTATTGTAATCACTCCATTGGTTTCTGTTGCAAAAGAGGAAAAAAGGTAACTCTGTTACTAAACTGTTGTGTAACATTAAGAGGTTTCCATCAGAAGCAGGTCCATCTGGTGGTTGTGAATCTGAGGCATGTGGAAGCATAACTGACAGAGGCTTGCAGTGAAGTGAATGTTTCTGATTGTTTTGTAAGCATATAACAGCAGTTTTGTGTGAATCTGAAACAGCTAAGTGAGAGTAAAAGTTAACTGTAGGTGTAACCATGCTTCAGACAAAGCAAAGTGAAAAGCTTCTGTGGGAATATTTTGATGTAATCATTTCAGAAACAAGAACTATGAATAAACAAACTCAGTTAAAGGTGAAAACACTTAACAGGTTTGGTTTTTTTTAATAATAGATATTTCAAATTTGGTGAGAACTCTGACCTACTGTAGTGACATGGTCATGAAAATGGTTTTTTTTTTTTTTTTTTTTTTTTTTGAAACAAAGTAACAGGGATTTTGATTACTAACATATATTTAAGTAACAGCTTAAAAGGTTTGATTTTTCTTTAAGCACATAACCAGCAATGCCATAGGCAGAAGCCTTAAACTTTTCAGCAAGTCAAATGAGTTAAAATTTGACGTGGCTGTTCTGTTGGCCCACTCCTGCCTGCAGGAAGTGTTTTCTCTGCGCAAATGGATGCGAAACGGAGATGTATCTGTAGCTCTGATTTTTTTTTTTCCTTAATTTATTTTTTTAAATTAAAATACCCAAAGTTTGAGACAGCCACTATGTTTTTTCTTTCTGGAGTCAGTGGCATACCATTTGTTATTGCTTGGACGATTTGGTTACCACATCTGAAGAATTTCAGTTGTAATTTCCACTCTCAAGGATGTGGTTAAAAATCCTTTTGCCTAGGCCAATGATCCACCCTGCACTTAGCAGTAAATATTATTTGTGAAGATATGTTAAGAACTTGAGGCTTAAGGAAAGTAAAGCATGTCATATTTCAATGGTATATTTCATATGTAATATTTATTTTTTAAGAATACCAAAGATAAAGGAAATCTGCTTTCCCAAATGGAAGAGGATATGAAGGATAAAATGCAACAGCTATACAAAAGCATAGGAGAAAAAGAACAACATGTTAAAAGTCTTCAGGACCTACTGACAGCAGAAAGATTTAGCTTGTCTATACTACAACATACTCTTTCTCTCCGGGACTCAGAAATAGCAGAATTAAAAAATGAAATAGCTTTATCAAAAATGAAAGAACAGCAACGTGTTGAAGAAGTGAAAATCCATCATGAAAAAGATACTTGCAGACAGTTGGAGATTTTGAGGGCTGAGCTGGAGAAGTGCCACAGAAGAGAGATTGCAGAAGCCAAGCAGGTATTTGAAGAAGAAATTATTTTAAAATATAAGAATGAACTTGAACAGTTAAAAAAAGAACTCTATGCTCTGAATTCTGAAGAACACATTCAGAATTTGAATGGCATAATTATTGACTTAAATAACAGTCTTTGTGAGTCTGAAATTACTAAGGAAAATTTGAGAAAGAAACTTGAAAACCAACAGGAAGACTTTCAGAGAGAAAAATCTGAAATTGAAACTAAATACAAAGATTTAATTGATGGTCTTAAGTCTCAACTTTCAGACTCAGAAGAGCAGGTCAAGGAAGCCCAGCGATACAAACAAGAAAACCAGTTCTTGAATGAAGATATTCAGAAGCTGAATTCTTTCATCCAGGAATTAAATGAAAAGCAACTTTATGAGGCTGAAAAAAGTATAGATGTAAGGCAAAAGTATGATGAAGGGGTTGTCTCAAATAGAAAACTAATGAAATTGAGGGAAAAACAGGTTTTACCAGAGGTGTCGCAGTTGCAGAGAACAGAGCTTGAGGAGATGTGGAATACACCGCAGCAGCTGCAAGGTGGAGATGAGGTAGTTCACGAAAAACTAGAGTTTCAGTGTGACTTGGGAGTACGCTCCTCAAGGGATCAATTAGAAGAAATTGAGGATTCAAAGATCACAGTTAATAATGAAAGCAGTGAAAGAGAGAACCTGTCTGAAGAACACTTGTCAGAACTAGGACTTTTCAGTGGTGATGAAGGCATATTGGCCAAGTATCTCATCTCCACAGAGGGACTGGAAGAGTCATATGCGTCCAGCACTTCTGAAGGTTATGCCATTGAAGAAGGTAGATGCAGTAGGTATGGATTAGACAGTAGTGCGCTTCTAGAACCCAGCAGAGATTCTATACCTCCTCCATTAAATGTTGATGTTGATGAAGAAACATGTCCTAGCAGTTTGGCTCAAGAGACATTTGAAGAGACTGAGGTGGGAGCAGAGGCCTTTGTTTCACTTTTCTCAGATAGCTCCCTGCAGCAAAACAAAATAAGTGGCTATGATGATGTAAAGGATGATGAGACTGCTTGTTTAGTAGAGGGATGTGTGGAGCTAACTGAACAGCTCCATGGGAAGGAGTCAGCCTTGAAGAAATCATACCAGGAGACCCAAGAAGCTTTTGGAAAATGGGAAAAAGTAATGGCTGAGCTCTCTCATATGCCTGTGGAACTGGATAAGGAATGTGAAACACGGATCCGTTGTGAAAAAGAACTCCTTCAAAAAACAGAGAAACAGAAAGAACTTGAAAACAAAAGAATGTTTCTAGTAAAGCAGCAGAGTGAGGATGGAGGTCCTGTAGAGCTTTCAACACAAGCATCAAAATCCTCTACCTGGCAAGAAATGGTAAAAGACCTCCAGGAGGAAAGGGAAATGTTGATGGTGCAGCTGCGAACTCAGGAGCAATTAGTGAAAGATGTTCAAGAGCAGAAAACAGCTTCTGATTCTGTAACAAGTGAAGTACAGTCTCTTTTTGGACGTCAGTTAGCTGCTTTGCAAAGTCAAAGGGATCAAATGCAAAGGCTGCTTGATGCTCAGAAGGTGAAAAACCAGACAATAGCAGAGCTGCTTGGTCAGAAAACCGTATCTGAAGAGACATTGCTAAAAGAACAGGAGTTGCTCAAACGTGAAATCAATAGCAAAGATCAAAATTTAGCACTCTTATTGAAGGAAAAAGCAGCCTTAGGAGAACAATTATCTGACGTGGAGGAGGATCTAAGAAAAGCAGAAAAAGCACTAGCAGAGAATGCTGACATCATTGAGGATCTTGAGAAAAGCATACATGAACTTAATGCTGAAGTGAAAAACCTCAAAGAAATACAGCAATTTGAAAGACTGGGATTTGAGGACAAGTTAAACTTCAGCAACCTAGAAATTAATAAACTTAATGCTGAAATAAAGGCAAAAAATACAGAATACAGTGAAAAAAAAAGCCAGCTGACTGAAGAAATTGCCCATTTGAAGAAGGTTTGTTTGGAGCTTGAGACTCGCTTGCAGGAGTCCTTTCAGTCTGCACAAGCTGCACAAGCTGATATAGTGAAACATTACAAAGAGGAAATGGATAAAATGGAGACTCAACACTTTGCTGAATTAACTAAAGTGAGTTTGACACACAAGAAAGAGGTAGGAAACCCTGATAATGGCAGGAGTCTTGAGATTTCATAATGCTTGGGTAGTTATTGCAAATGTTTGTATGCCTGTTTTCAGATAGAAGAATTAAATGCTGAAATAAAAGATAAAGTGGAAAAACAGCAGAAGTTGGAAGAAGAAAGAAAGGAACAGATTGTTTTAATAAAAAAGGTAAATGCTGTAATTTGGTTTATTTCAGAAAAATAAACTGATTTTGTGTTGTTTGTCATTTAAGCAATATAAATGTTTTGGAAAGGCAAAAACCTCTTGTTTTTTCCATGGTGTCTTTGATTTGGGGTTAGGAGGAAAGGAGAATTTTGGCTCAATAATTTCCTAGGGGGCTAGCTAACCATGTTTCGAAGAATGCTCTTTACCTGAGTATGTTCTGCAGGTACATGAGCGAGAACACGATCGTGAAATTGCTGAACTGATTACTAAACATGAAGAGGAAATGGAGAAGCTCCGTGCTGAACTAAATAAAAACCACCAGCACCTGTTGGATGAACTTCGGCAGCAAATGATAGCCACGCACAAAGCAGAGATTGAGCAGGCTCAGCTCCAATCACAGGTAAAAATAATGACACACAGTAATCACTGCAGTGGTTACATGGCTGTTGCAAAGAGAAGACTCTGATTTTAGTGCATATTATGTATGCACTTTTCTGTAGTGCTGCAGTTGAAGAATTAGGAATGTTCCCTTAGTGGGTAGTAGTAGATGTTTTTTCCAGGAGTTCTTTGGGATCCTCACTGCAATTATATTTTTAACATTAATTCTGAAGAAAACTGGATGCTTACATTGATAGGTTTAAGAGCAAACAAAAAAACCCCAAACAACCAAAAACATCAACAAAAAACCCACAAAAAAATCAACCAACAAGCAAAAGATAAACCAAGCCAAACAGACCTTGTCATTTTTCATGTCTTTAAGTTTAACGAGTAAATTTATAAAAATATTAAACCCTTCCCCCTTTTAAGTTATCCTACTATAATTATTCTATTGGTGTAATTAGGAATACTTTCATGGTAAACTTAAATACATAAACCTAACCTTTTCCTCTAAATGTTTACTGGGTTTTTGAACACTTACACTAAGTGCAAAGTGGAAACGGAAAGAATACGTCTAGTATTAGATTCAATTACGATATGTTGGTGCATTATTTATTGAAGAATTTAAAAGTTTGGTTGGTCTGTTCTAGCTGCCATTTGTAACTCGTGGATATTCCTCACATTTTCTTTTTTTTTTTTAGTAAGAGATGGTGAATTTTATTTCCACTTGTCCAATACAACTTCAGAATCTAGCTTTTTAACAAATTACAGCCAGTGTTGTAATGTTATGCAAATCTCATTGTAACAAAAGTCAGCTTATTTTCAGAGTTCTGTCCCTGCCATGAAGAAACACTCTTCAAGTACAGAGAGGCAAGACTTAAAGTGTTTAACAGTTAAAAGCAATTGAAACTGAAACTGGTCATGAAAAAAGTGAAGATATTTCATTAGGAGGGAGGGAAAAACTCTTTTTCTTCTCCATTACAGACGCTGCGGAGCCTTGAGTTGGAAGCTCTACGCCTAAGCTTAAATAACATGCACACCTCCCAGCTTGAGCTTACACAGTCTAATTTGAGAAAAGAAAAGGAAAATGCCCTTGTGGAGCTGCGGGAGATGCTCAATGATAAGCGTGCTCAAGAGGTAGCAATTCTGCAAAGCCGCCATCAGCTGGAGTGGGAGAAGATTAAAGAACAATATCTGAAGGAAAAAGAAGACCTTGAGTCAAAGTATCAGCAAGAGCTAGGTATTAAAGTTTGGGAATAATAGACCAGAAATTGAAACCCTCTCTGTGTTTTTCTTGTTTCATAAGTTCCTGTCTTGGTGTAGAGCTGCCCTTTTGAGTGACGACTGGTGTTACCTTGAATGTGGACAGTGGCTAGACTGGCATGTGCAAGAGTGCATGTTTTGTATATGGAAATGAAGTTGTCCAGGACCTAAGATTAACTTTTCTTTGACTATTTGAGTGTTTTGCGGCTACCTCTGTAAAATAGCATTATACCAAACTAGTTGTTTTCTGGAGGCATTAGACAGAACCCTCAAAGAATCTCATCCAAGTGAAGAGTAGAGCTCTTACCCTTTGTGTTTCTTAAGGGTTTTTATTGCCCTAAGTTAGCACTGACTACTATTGTGTTTCTGACAAGACCATAGAACTGTAGAATGGTCTGCGTTGGAAGGGACTTCCAACTCAGTCCAACCTGACCTTGAATGTTTCCAGCGGTGGGGCTTCTGCCACCTCTCTAGGCAGCTTGGGTTTCACCATCCTCACTGTAAAAATTTTCTTTCTTATATCTAGTCTGAATCTACCTTCTTTTAGTTTAAGTCCGTTACCCCATGCCTTATCACAGCAGGCCCTATTAAAAAGTTTGTCCCTATCTTTCTTACAGACTGGAAGGCTGCTACAAGGTCTCCCTGGAGCCTTCTCTTGTCCAGACTGAACAAACCCCTGCATTATCAGCCTTTCCTCATAGGAGAGGTGTTTCAGCCCTCTGATCACTTTTGTGGCCCTCCTCTTGACCAAATGAGGACCACAACGATGATCAGAGGACTGGAACAGGTAAATACAGAAACAAACATAAAATTCAGAAATGCTTCCTGGCTTGCCCTCTCAGTGGTTTCCAAAGAAGGATAAAGGAGTTAGAAAGGAACTGAAGGGCTCAGTGAGAACCTACAGCTGGGTGTCCTTTGAGATATGTTGAATATAAGACATCATTGTATTCTGACATCAGCAAGAAGAAAGCTGCACTTGATAGTACTGAAGGTCTGCTGATGGTGCTCTTGGCATTGTTTGAGATACTTGTCTCTTCCCAGATCAGGGCACCATTTTGGACCTGTGTGGCAGAACTTGAGAAGAACTTCTCTTCTGGAGAAGAGTGAGATTTGCAGCAATTCACTAAAAAGTTTAGGAACCATTCCGTTAGTTGCTCTTCCCTAAGAGGATGTTCTAGGACTGTGTCTTTCTGAACTGAAAGCCATGTGTTACCATCAGCAGTATAGTGAACCGATGGCATAGTGGCATTTGGGAGCAGGAGGAGGTCTGGTTGCAGTTCTTAAGATCAGTGCTGTTTGTGTGTTTTGGCAATGTAACTTACTATGAATGTAATCCTGGTGTGTGTTTTGGCGATGTAAGTTATTGTGAATGTAGCTACTTATGTGTGTTTGAATGTAGGAGCTGAGAAGGGGAACTTGGAATAAGGTGATGCAGGAGATCTTGTGGGGAGTTGTGGATACTGTTACCTGGGGGGCTAGGGGAAAGAGATTTCTCTTCAGAGAGGTGATGGTTGGGCATGACCCAACTGACTTGAGTGCTGTGAAGCTGGCTTGCTTGTAACTTAGATGATGTTTCTTCCTCTATTGGACCATTATCTGGGTAGATGGCACCTTTGAGTTTTTGAGTTAACATTTCCTGCTAGACGACTAGAAATAAGATCGTAAGCTAAAGCAATGGTACTTTGAAGCTGTGAGAAGGGGGCTGGTGGGCCTTTACAGGGTTCTTGCAGACCAAGGAAGGTGCTGAACAAGAAGTTGGAATGAATCTGAAGAGGAGCTGTAAGGGAAGAAGCCACTGGTGTCGGTAATAATTGAGTAGATAATAGCATCTGTCTTGCAGTCTGTTTCCCAGGCATTTTTAGAATGAATTTTCAGAGAGTTTTCTACTTCCTGCTGCTGCTGCCTGCTACTATTTTGTTGTGTCTCTGGAGATAGAGATGATTCAAACACTTAATAGTGACATGTAGTGAAATGCTGGCATCTAAAATGACATTGATAGGCATTTGAATTCATAACTTTAGGAATAAAGGTCTGGTTTGTAGATACATACTTTTTTTTTGTATCATGCTCTCCGTAGATTTAAGCAGACTTTCCTTTACTAATTAATCTGAACTTCACCTTCAGAGCTGTCATTGCAGTTGTAACTGCTAGATGCTTATTTACTAAAATGAAAGTGAATTATTGAGGTATAGCATAACAGCAGATTTGGACAGAACCCGGTGCTACCTGTTCAAGCCCTGAGTTTGATGCTGGAAATGGTAATCTCATCCATATTTCTGCTTCTCATTTAGTCACAACATTTTATGTAAGTTTATTAATAAGTAGTATTTTATTTCACAGTTGATCAGAGAAAGAAAATAGAATCGGAATTGGAAGAGACACATATCCAGGCATTAGAGGTACAAATTCTGTTCTTTATACAAGAAATAAATGCCTGTCAGTAAACTTGAGCTGGTAGAAGTCCTGTGTCTACTACACTAGTAGAGGACAAATAAATGGAGGCGAAAAAGAAGTACAAGTTTACTAAATATTTTTCCTTTAATAATGGGTGTCTTGCTCTCTTAGACTCTCAAAAGAGACTGGGAATTGGAGTCTGAGTTGCGTTTCAAAAGCACGTGTGAAGAGCTGTCTGGAAAACATCAGACTGAGATGTTGGAACTGCGGAAAACTCTGGAAATGGAAATAGAAAAAGTGAAAGCAGAGATGGGGCTTCTTTCTCTTGAAAATGAACAGTCTAAAAGTAAGTGCCATGGTCTGGGAAGCAGTTGTTTCTATTGAACAGTGACAAAGCTAAGTGATCTTAGAGCCTGTATAAAAAGCAAATACAAGATCCTTTTACTTAAAAACTGGGTTGATGGCATAAGACTGTCTAAACACCAGGATGTAAATCAAAAATTGTTTAAAGCCTAGTTAGCTGTGTAGCATTTTGACTTCCATAGAATGAGATGCACTATGGTTTCCTTCAAGTGTATTAAAAGGAGGTACTGGGTTTTTTGCCAGCTGAAAACCAGCTTTGGCAGTTACTGAATTAATCAAAATTCCAATTAATATCAGTAGAAGCTTCTTCTAACAAGAGAATTGAGTTTGGGTTGTGAACAGTTAAAGCTTGATGGAACAGTAGTTTTTTTGAAATGCAGTTCTGGAAGCGGTGTTTTTGAAACTACTCTAATTGGTGTTTTCCTTAACTTGAAAAATGAAATCTGGTCAACTGTTTGGTCAGCTACATCTGTTCATATCTTTTGCTGAGGGCTATGAAAAGTTTGTGTAGGTCTCAGAAATCCAACACATTTGTTGATCTAGTGGTTGACTGGCACAGTAGTGTCAGATTTGCTGTCAGTGATGGCATGCGAAGGAATGATGAGATGTGGCGTGCCATGAAGTGAAGAGAGATAGCTAGGCAGGTTGCCTGGCTTCTGAGGCACCATGCAGGTGAGAAACATGGGAAATAACACGCTCTCCAAAGAAAAGAAGCAGCAGTGTTAAGGGCTGGATGATGCTGGCTGGCAGGCAGCAAAACCAAGTTTGAGAAGTGAAGAGTAGCATTTTTGACCTGCCAAGGAACAATGCTTTCACAATGTTTGGGTCTCCTTTGGCTGCTGTGAGGACATGTCTGTAGCAATTGCTTGTTCTTCTCAGCCTACACTGACTTTACTAGGTTTCCCTGAACCTCCGTCATTGTGAGGATAACATGCATCTCTTGCAGCTCACTGTGGCTGAAATGCAGTCACCTAATCAGGGAGATGCAGGGAGAGCCTTTCTGGGAAGGTCGAGACTTGTTGACCAAATGAGGTAGTAGCAAGTGTACAGGGTTTAGAGAGTGCTCAGTGCCAAAACAGAGCCTACGTTGCACAAGCTTTCCTAGTCCTTCCTGTTCACCTCTTTTACTGCCTGCTCCCGAGTGTGGTCATAGGAGAAATTCTATGCTTGTAGGCCTTGAAGAAATGTTTGATTCCCTGTTCCAAGAGTGTGTTCTTCTAGTTCAGGATGCAGAGAGCAGATGGTCATCCCTCCAGCACTGCTGTTGGTTACCTCTTGACTAACAGTGTGGGATGCAGAGAACTGGTGGAGTTCCATTGTGTGGAAATGTTTGATTTTCAAGTACTTTACTATTCAGGTAGTTTTGTGGTTCTCTGTAAGTTAGCATTCTAGTCTAGAGACATGCGTAACATTTTCTTGCTCAAAAGTTGTACAGGTTATTCAGTAACCAGGGCGGTGGTGTAACAGAACTCATTTTTAATTGTAGTAAAATGTGTAGAACTGGAGAGGCAACACCAGTTAGCCATTACAAAGTTACAAGAACAGCTGCAGACTGAACATAACCAACTCCTAGAGGATGTGAAGATAAAAAGCAAAGAAAAAGAACAGAATCTTCAGAATGAGGTAAATAATATTTCTTTAATTGTTTTGAGTAGTTGATTACTCTCTATATAATATAACAAAATCTAGACCGTATACATATAATTTCAGTGACTTGATTGTGTTTAGGGATTTTATTGAAAAACGCATCTCAGAAAGTAGGTAAATACTCTGGGATTTTCTCTAGTGGTTCAAAATCTTCTGAATGTAATTGCCTTTGTGCCATTTGATGCCATTTCTTTCTCTGTATTTACATGTTTATTTTTCTGGTTCTTGTGTTCTGTTTTTATCTAGCTAATATTTTATTTTTGCCAGTGATGACAAATACAACATCAGGAACAAATTGCTCTCTCTTAGGGGAGTTGGTCTAATAGTTAAGCGCTACTCAGTATTTCTGGTAGCCTGGGTCAGGAGCTGAGAGTCTGTCTCTGAGTGTTTCCACCTATTTCTAGCAGAACTGGTTGTTGCTTATAAAATAAACAATAGGAACAAAATTGTTTTTAAAAGGGTTTTTTGTTTGTTGGTTTTTAAACCTGTTTAAAAGGTTTTGTTGGTTTTATTATTTTTTTTTCCTTAACAAATCTTCCGTAGCTGGAGAAACTTCAGGTCATGCATGAAGAACTCAAGACTCGGTCACAAGAAGAACTCAAGCAGCTTTGGTCTCAGCTCGACAGTACCCGAGCAAATCGGCAAGAGCTAAGTGGTACGTTCAAAACTGACACACTTTATTTTTTGCCTTTTTTTCATATAGAAGTACTCATTATTGACATGAAATAGTTTTAATCATGTACCAGAAACACATAGCTAAGTCACAGAATTGTCTGTGAGTTGTACCCTAGTGCTCGGTTTCTGACGTGAGAGGTGAGTCCGTGTCAGATTACTCATTGGTCCTGCAGTGTCAGAAATCATGGCATGGCTGTGGGTGAAATCTCTCTTGTTGTTTTCCTTTCTCTTCCCACTCTGTTCCTGCGAACTATAAAAATCTTTAGTGAAAACCAAACATTTTTCATTGCAACGTCTAATTAAATATAATGCAGTTAGAAAATGCTGGTCAATGCAATAACATGCTCTCATTTGTATTCAGTGTGGAAGTGAATACGAATTAAATTGAGAAAACTTAGTTGTTGGTAGGCAGTAAAGTGTGTGACTTTATTGTGACTGTCATATAGCTTCTTTTATTTGGAGATAATTAAGAGGTCAGTCTGCTTAAAACAAAGTCTTAAAAAGCAGAAATATTTTTAAACGGTGTGATTGGATTATGTCTTGAGGTACAGACGGCTTTTTTGCCCTTTCAGTTTTGAGGTGAGTTAAATAAAATGCTTTTTCATTGACAGTGAAATAGAGTTTCACCGTCTTCTGAAAGACTTAATTCTTAAAGATTGAAAAGGTTAAAGATGCCCATTTTAAAATAAAAGTATTCAGGTGATACTTCTGAAGTCAGAATGAATGATAACGTTTTCCTAGAAGGCTAAAAATAACCTCCTTTTTCCATAGTGATGCTTCAGTTTAAAAAATAAATAAATCGCCTAAGCCTACAAAGCAAAGAAACAGAAGGAAAACATGCACAGCAATTAAACATGAATGTTTTGTTTGTTTGTTTTTAAATTAGCCTTGTGTGTATCTGCATTAAACTTACAAAAAAGATTTTGGAGCCTGAGAGAATGATGACTGAATGAAATAAGACATTGTATGCTTTATGGACCTTAAGATTTCTGTTTCAGGGTTCACGTGTATTAAACACCGCCATCAGCTTTACAGTTCAGTGATCAGAGCTGACACATATTTGGTTGAAATGGAGTAGAACACATCTCGTGTGTGTGAGCAAACAGCTGTGTAATATCTGAAAGAAGGAATTTTGGAAAAATAAAAAAAGATAGAGACTATGATGTTAACCTTAACTGTGTCTATATTCACTTTTTATTGGGTCTGTGATATGTTATGTGGTGTTCTTTACTTATGCTATGGTAGTTGAAGCATATTACGTTTGCCTTTTTTTTTTTTTTGCAATTTTAGATTTTCTAAATAACTGTAGATAGATTTTGAAGTATAACAGGGTTTTGTGAGGGTGGCTTTTTGTTGTTTTTTTTGTCATAAATTGAATAAATTACTTTTCTATCTAGTCAGACTTTACCTTTGTCAGATCTGTTTTGATATTACAGAATTAGAGCAAACAGTACTTTAAAGTATTTACTGGAATTCTTTTATTTCCTCTCCGTAACCCTAATCTTTATTAACCTTTCAAATGTCTTTCCATGTTTCTAATCCTCACCTTCCCATTCTTTGGACCTTTTCTGTTTCTTCTTCATCTTGCTTGAGATGGTGAGACCAGAATGCAAGTCCATGGTCCAGGTGAGGATATATCTTTTGATGTGTGAGATCTGGTTTTTGTTTTGCTTTGCTTTTCTTCACGTGAGTGATCATTTGACAATGCATTTGGATTGGTTTGAAGACTCAGGGTGGTGGATTCAAAACACAGTGAGTGGACGATGGGATCGTGGCTCTGACTTGCCAATTCAAAACTGTTAAACCCTTTTCTGGGTTAATTTTGTGCCAGCAGACTTCGCTGGTTAGGCGAAACCTTGCTGTGCCAGATTGAACTTCCCTTGCCTATCTCACTGGCAGTGTTACTGCTTGTCACTTGATTCCTTTGGTCCCTGTGCTTGGCAACTGTCTCCTTTGGAAACAGGCTTGAGACATGTACTTCTTTTACTCTTTCTGTTTGCATGTTTGTTGAGAGAATTTTTCATACCAAGTGTGCATTTTCTGGTCTGCTACACTAAAACACACTGACAATCGGCTGTGTTGCTTCCTTGATGGCATCCTCTGTTTCCATAAATGTTCCTGAACTTTCTCTTCTTGCATAACTTAAGCAGATGCTTTTCTCCAAGTTCTTTCTTCCTGAAATGTAGTTCTATCTTCAGTTGATTTCTGTGGGGTTTCAGCTAACTTAAATCACCTGGGAAGTTGAGACATCTGGGAAACTTTTTAAATTCTCTCTTATGATTTTTGTCCTTTTTTTCCTACCCTTTTGCTTCCTAATACATGACCACTTCTTTAATACTGAATGTGGGGAAAAAAGCTCTCGGAGTTCATGAATACACTGCAGTGCTGGCTGCTACCCTTGTTTCAGGGAGTGAGGGCACCTCGCTGAACCAGCCCTGATCGCTGTTTTCTACTGCATTCTATTTTCATTATTTTATTTTTTTTTTTTGTTGGGTGGTTCTTTTTAATTCAATTAATTTAGCCTCTGCTTGAGCTAATCATGGCTAGCCAAACCATCACTAAAGTAATCCAGAATTGGTTTTTTATTCTTGTGATTTTGTTTTTCTACGTAGTTTGTGCTAAAGTAGTTCTTCCTGGAGTAAATTAAATGTTCTTGGCTAAATTAATGCTTCTGGTTGCTGCACCAAGAAGGTGTGGAGATAAAGCAATTGTGCAGGGCTCTGCATGTCTCTAGATGAGACCTGAAGTACAAGAGAACAAGGAAGGCTGCAGTCTGCTGGTAGTTTTGATTCTTGTCATGAGTATGGTTTCTCTGGATGCAATGTAAATGGAGAACATGGTTTTCTTATCATCTGAGGGAGGAATGTTTCACCTTTCAGAGGTTCATTTCCTTATGTAGCTTGTGAGGTTACGTTTTACTGCTGTCTCAAACTAAGATATGTCTCATCTTCAGAGAATGACTTAGCCTAAAGATATGTACTTCTGAGTACTTGTGTTGGTTTTACCTCCATTCCAGAGCTAAAAGAGCAGCTTCTGGCTCGGGCATCACGGGTGGAAGAAATAGAGCGTTTAAAACAAGAATTTGAACAGCAGTGTCAGCAAAGAAAGAGTGAGCATGAAACTGAATTGGAGCAACTGAGACTTTATTTTGAAAAGAAGTTAAGAGTCACTGAAGAAAACTACAGAGAAGAATTGACTTTGCTGCATCAGAGAATACAAGAACTGCAGGAATATTCGCTGTCGGAGTTGGAAGTGAGTCAAGATCAAGCATGGGACATCAGGTGATCTATCCTTTTCCTTTAATCTCGTGACAGAATGCATTGGTTTTTTTAATATAAAAGATGATGTTGGCTTTGAGCAACCTGGTCTAGTGGGAGG